TAACGCCACTTCTTCAAAATAGACTCGCCCAGGTCATGGTAGTTTGGTCCCAAGCCTCAAGGGGCCAAAGAGCTGCATGTGACTCTCGCAGTTTGCCGACCACTGGACTAATGGACTTTAATGAACTGAATGCTGAACTGGACCCACTATAGCATGGAACAGAAGCTCTGGGCACTGGCCTTACTTTTGGCTCTGCTGGAACCCCAGCTGCCCCTCTTTGAGAACTGGCTTAAGGGAAATGGTACTTAACAAATAAAACCGTTTTCCACATCTTGTTTTCCCATGAGAATCTTAGAAAACTCATTTTCTCAAAATATCTTTAAGAGCCAACTCACACCCACAAGTGATAGAGAAATCTGGCCCACTAATTCCTCTGGCAACAATACTACTGGATACATGGAAAATATATCTTTCTTTTTTTTTTTTTCTTTTAATGTTTTTAAAATCTTTCTTAGCAACATATGTCATTGTTTTGGGGATATACCTTCTCAAAAGTTTCACAGGAGGGAAAGCAGTGGCAAGGAACTTCTCATTCTTTGCATGGTATAATCATCACCAGCTTCTAATTCAAATCAAATTTTTATTCAGGGTCCCATTATTCCTTCTTGAAACAGTTTTGTTTTCCTACACACGGTGTGTTACTTTGGTTTTATGATTAAAAATCACTAATGTAAGTACATCTGAGCCCTGGAGCCTGGAATAATGGGAAGTTTGTTTTATACACCGTTAGGAAAGCTGCCTTCTGCGTGATAGAACTGAACTGATGATTTGTTACTGGTCCACGCCCTTGTTGGATGCTCTTCTGGAGATATTATGCTGGGTACCTTTTTCTTCCTCCCTTCCTGTAAAAACCAGGTGTATTGGAATTAGTCCAAATGCCCCCATTTGATTTCTTCCACGTCAGAGGATGACTGTCTTTTCCCCTTAGAAAATGAAGTTAACCCTTTTCTATGTTTAGGCTAGAGAAATAGCCAGTCTTTATTCCTGTCACTGTTTTATTTATTTTTATTTTTTTTTAAATATATTTTTATTGATTTTTTACAGAGAGGAGGAGAGAGGGATAGAGAGTTAGAAACGTCGATGAGAGAGAAACATTGACCAGCTGCCTCTTGCACACCCCCTACTGGGGATGTGCCCGCAACTAATGTACATGCCCTTGACAGGAATTGAACCTGGGACTTTTTAGTCCGCAGACCAACGCTCTACCACTGAGCCAAACCGATTTCGGCTGTTTTATTTTTTAAAATAGATGGGAGGGAGGTAGGCTTTTAAAACAAGAAATGTGTACTGCCTTCTTAACTACCCTGTTTCCCTGAAAATAAGACAGTGTCTTATATTAATTTTTGCTTCCAAACATGCGCTAGGTCTTATTTTCAGGGGATGTCTTGTTTTTCCATGAAGAAGAATATGGTACACATTTATTGTTAAATGAAAATAAAGGAAATTTATTACCTGTATATGGTACGGTAGTATGGTAGTTGTGAACACAAACCAGACAAACTGTGAATCCTACAGTATCAAGAATTTACTCATTTATGCCGAAACCAGTTTGGCTCAATGGATAGAGCGTCGGCTTGGGGACTGAAAGGTCCCGGGTTTGATTCTGGTCAAGGGCATGTACCTTGGTTGCGGGCATATCCCCGGTAGGGGGTGTACAAGAGGCAGCTGATCGATGACTCTCTCATCGATGTTTCTAACTCTGTATCTCTCTCCCTTCCTCTCTGTACAAAATAAAATATATTAAAAAAGAATTTACTCATTTATTCAGTGACAATCATGTCATCATCTTCTGGAACATCATTATAACAATCCAATTCCTGAATTTCCTGCTGAATTTCTTGTGACTCCATTTCTTTCAGAATCAGTGGGCCAAATCTTTCATGTTTAGCGATAGCGTTCTGAGACAGAGCCTAGGGAGGGCCTTATTTTGGGGGGTATGCCTTATATTTCACTCAGAAGGAAACTTGTAAGTAGGTCTTATTTTGGGAGGATGTCTTATTTTCCGGGAAACATGGTAGTCATTGTTTGTTTGTTTATTTAATCCTCACCCAAGGATGTGTTTTCACTTGAGGATATGCTTGTTTGTTTGTTTTTAATCCTCACCTCAGGATATTTTTTCCATTGATTTCTAAAGATAGAGGAAGGAAGGGGAGAGAGAGAAACACTCAAGTGAGAGAGACACATTGATTGGTTGCTCCCACATTCACCCCCCATTGGGGCTGGGGAACAAGCAACTGAGGTGCGTGCCCTTGACTAGGAATTGAATCCACAACTCTTCGGTCCACAAACTGACATTCTAACCACTCTTCAGGTCTAAGTAGTCATTTTTTGCCTTTTACTTCCAGCAAAAATGCCATTATTAGCACTTTTTCTCCCTGTCTATTTATTGCATCCACCCATATGCCAAAGTGAATTTTTCTGAGTTCCTTCTGGCCTCCTGGTTGAGCTGAAGATGACAATACTGGAAGTAGAGAGAGATACTACACCTGGATCAGCCACTGGGAGAGATAAATGGATCAGCACAAGAAACTCAAGCTGGGAGACCTCACTCTGATCCTTAAATGGAAAAAGGCATCAGGTTTTAACATCTTAGCTGGCACCAAGATACCCTGAAAGCAAGAGCTACTAGCCGACTTTGATATGTCAAATCCCCAAGTCATCGAGTTAGTACAACCGGCATTTCGTTCATAGGCCAGTCCCTTTTCTCTTGTCCTTTTTTCATGTTTTTTTTTTTTTTTTTAATATATTTTATTGATTTTTCTTACAGAGAGGAAAGGAGAGAAGAGAGAGCTAGAAACGTTGATGAGAGAGAAACATCCACCAGCTGCCTCTTGCACACCCCCTACCGGGGATGTGCCCGCAACCAATGTACATGCCCTTGACGGATTCGAACCCGGGACCTTTCAGTCCGAAGACCGACGCTCTACTGCTGAGCCAAACCGGTTTCAGCTTTCATGTTTCTTAATGGATTGGTCCCAAAACACCTGCCTTGATTTTTCCCTTTTCCATCTACCAGATACAAACATTGTATTTTCTGCCAATCTGACCGGTTTTAAAGTATGTGTCCTCTCTTACATGAAAACTTAGGTCTTAAAAACCGTGTCAGTGAGGTGGCTGTCACTTTCTCAGCATTTACCAAGAATCTGACTGTTATTTTGCTGAATTCTATTGGCCTTGAAGGATTTCTCAGGGCTTAGCAGTAATTGGAGTAATGAAGACATTGCCAGAGGTAACTCTACTAGTGATTACATAGAGAAATTAATGTATGAACTAGTTGGTGCATATTAGGAATTCCCAATTAGCTTGGCAGCTCTTTAGCAGTAACTATTTTTAGGTTAAAATGCTAAAACAGATTTTTCCCCCCCTAAAAAGTACTCTGGAAGGAATAAGCTTTGTTTCATGCTTAGATGACACTGGGGAGTACGTGTGAGATTGTATCATGTGCGACACCCTTTACATTGAAGAAATGATGGTAGCCAGTTAGAAAACAGAATGGCTAAGGATCAGATATCATGTGGGCATATTACAGTACTTCTCATTCAGTTCCTAAATAAGAGGACCCAAAACATTTTAGTAACAACTTGTCAGGAGTTGTTAGCCATATTTACTCCTTTAAATTAATGTGCGTGAAGGGGACCTTCAGAACAGTTGACTCTGGAAAGAAAAAAGCTTAGTATTCAGGTGTAGATACCAAGAATTGACCACCAACAATCCAGCAAGGCCTGGCAGGCGTGGCGCAGTGGTTGAGCATCGACTTGTGAACTATGAGGCCATGGTTCGGTTCTCGGTTGGGCATATGCCCATGTTGTGGGCTCTCTCCCTAGTGTAGGGCGTGTGGGAGGTGGCTGATTAATGATTCTCTCTCATCATTGACGCTTCTTTCTCTCCCTCTTCCTTTCTCTCTGAAATCAATAAAAAGTATATTTTTTAAAAATCCAGCAAAATGACCTTGCATGTTTCCCAGGAGAAAATGGTAGGATGGATTTAGGGTTCTAGTAGGTTAGTGGTGCTAGGAGGTAGTAGCACATAGTGCCTGTCACCAAAAGAAGGTGTTTCAACTTCTTAATGCGGGTGAATACCTGGTCATGTAGTAGCTATTAAGTATTACATAGGATTATTTCAAGTAAATCTGCTTTCCAGAATGTCAGAGCTTCATTATTTGCTTGCTAAATCCTTTCCCATTTATCATGGCGTGTTTACCTACAGAGACATGTCTCACCGTCTGTGAGGACAGTCGTCCAACAACAAGGAATGTCTGACAGTCAGCAAATTAGTACTGATTGCTCCGTTCTCAGCCCAGTGATTTATGTTTTATTTTTATTTTTTGTTAATCTTTATCCAAGGATATTTTTTCCCATTGACTTTTAGAGAGAGTGGAAAGGAATGGGAGTGACACAGAAAGAGAATCATCAATGTGAGAGAGAGACATAGATTGATTGCCTCCTGCACTCACCCCACAGCAGAGCCTTAAACCAGAATCAAACTTGGGACACTTCAGTCCTCAGACAGACTCTCTATCCACTGAGCCAGACTTGCCTGGTGACCCAGTGATGTCTTTTTCCCCCCCAGCTGTTAGGAAATGGATAATTGGGAGCTATTAGCACACTTATTTGTGGGTTTTATTCCAAGTCTTCCCAAGGCCTGTTTCATGGGAAAATAAAGGTATTTCTTAGACCCCTCAAAATGATGGCCAGTAATTGACATGAGTTGACATTGTTCTTGGGGTTTTTCTGGGGTAGGGTGGGAAGAGCCTTCAAGAACAGAAGCAAGATGGCAGCATGGTATACAACAGTCATAATTTCAAGGTTACTTTCTTTCAGATGAATTCTTTAAGTTTTGGTCACTCATTAATTAATGCATTTCTGTTAAGCAGGGATTGCTTCTAGAACATTTTTAGGGTGTATAGCTTATTAAAACTGTTGAATGTATGTGCTATTTTGAATGGTACGCTTTCCAGATCTAATTGTGGTCTATGGTGTTTAATATATTTTAGAAACTCGATGGCTTCTACAGGGAGCCAGTCCTCTGATACAGACAACATTTTTGGATTCCTCAGTGATGGCACACCTCCAACCAAGAAACCCAGGTAAATGGGAAGGGACTCTGAGAAGCAAAGACATTACTAGTAATGGTAGTTAAATGAAAAATAATGAACTTGCTCTATATCCTGGTTTTCGCTAATTAATATTAACCTTTACGTAAAATTATGTTTCTTTTTTGGATCTAATTTTATTTTTTATCAGGGTCATAAATGTGCATAGTTTTATAAGTCAGTACTTCATGATGCCTCCCTTACTCCTTTTCCCTCAGAGGCAGTCACTTTCAACTTTTTTTATGTTTCTCTAATATTTACATCCATATTTTTCAGTACTGTGTGTACTGCTATATTTTAGTGTTTTGGTTTTATCTGTTTCTTATTATGGAAGATGAAGATTAGGTTTGCTCTCATGGATCTTCTCCCATACTGTATACACACACACACCATACACATGCCCCACAACCTCCCAGTATATCAAATTCTGGGGGTTAAATTACTTTTTAGTATTTATATTACATGACTATATAAATGATACTCATAGTTGAGCCTGCTAATGTGTTATGATTACATTTCTTTTTTTTTTTAAATATATATTTTATTGATTTTGTACAGAGAGGAAGGGAGAGAGATAGTTAGAAACATCGATGAGAGAGAGTCATCATCGATCAGCTGCCTCTTGCACACCCCCTACTGAGGATATGCCCGCAACCAAGGTACATGCCCTTGACCGGAATCGAACCCGGGACCTTTCAGTCCCCAAGCCAACGCTCTATCCATTAAGCCAAACCGGTTTTGGCTGATTACATTTCTTTTCTTGTCTATCTATCCCTCAAGATTCTCTCTCTCTTGCTTTGTTTTCTGTGTACCCATCAGTTTATCTTCTCTGTGACAGAAGAGTCATCTCCTAGGCATACTTAGGCGTACTGACACATCACTACTGCATGAGTTATATTTGCTTCTAGATTCTTCCTTTGGACTGTCTGTTCTGACTGTGGCTCTCCATGCTGCCCCACTGCTGATTATGCCATTTTTCTTTCCCATCGCCCTGGGAATTCCTCTTTAGGCCTCTTTGTATTGGATCCTGTTTCCTAGATTGCAAGTCTTTTTCTTTGGTGTACTCCTTCATCTTGCCGCAGAATATCCTCATTCACTTCCTCAGTAAGGGTGCAGGGTATATATTTATATACACTTAAATTTATTTGATTTGGCTGGGTGTAGAATATTAGGTAGGAAATTGTTTTCCTTGAACTGAAAATCATATTTCACCATTTGCTTCTAATATCTATTATCTTTTCCAGTAGACTAAACTTTTGAGGTTAGGACCTCCATTTTGTTCATAAATATATCACGTAAGTTGGTCTGAAGGTTGTGGGTTATTGTTAAGCTGATTAACATAAATATATCATGTAGGATCTGGTACTTCATAAATTTTTTATATTCATTGAAGTGCTGAATGCCAGAGTTGGAGATAGGGAAGGTGATTCTAGAGGTTGTTATTCCAAAGCCAGGTTTCCCAAAGCTAAAGTATTGTTCTTTCTTGGGTTATGCCCAAATGCTGATCCTGTTTCTGTTTAGTTTATTATTTGGACAAAAGGTTGAGAAGGACAATTTCTTGGGGGAAAAGCACCCCATCAACAAAAATTAAATTACAAAATATATCTCAAGCAGATTTTATTATAGTCTCCAGAATGAAAGGGACTGGAGAACAAAGGCAAAAATTTGTGCCCACCTTGTATTGTATAGAAACTTCAGGACAGAACTCTGTTATCCTGGTGAGAAAGCGATGGTTTTCACTTTCCGTCATGTCCATTGAATAGTTATTTTTTTGTTTTGATCCTTGAAGCTCCTCCTGTGCTCTCAGAATTCTGTTGGCCACTTTTTCTTTCTTTTTGGCTTGAGGATATCTAGAGCAGACTGGTTCCTATGTTTAACCACCTAGCTCCTGTTCAATTTTAGTCATGCTCAGTTTTATCTTCATAACATTCACAAAATTTGGGCCTAAATTTTTTATTGACTGCCTTTCATCCCCTGGTTTTGTTAGTTTGTATGTTTGTTTGTTTTAGATATATATTTATTGATTTCAGAGTGAGAGGGAGAGAGAGATAGAAACATCAATGATGAGAGAGAATCATTGATTGACTGCCTCCTGCACGCTCTTCTGGGGATCGAGCCCGAAACCCGGGCATGTGCCCTAGACCCAATCAAACCCAGGACCCTTGAGTCCGAAGTCCGACACTGTCCACTGAGCCAAACCAGCTAGGGCTGTTAGTTTGTTTTAATATATTATTATTGATTTCAGAGAGGAAGGGAGAGAAAGAAACATCAATGATGAGAGAGAATCCTTGATTGGCTGTCTCCTGCATGCCTCCACCAAGGATTAAGTCTGAAACTCGAGCACGTGCCCTGACTGGGAATAGAAACAGCAACCTCTCAGTTCCTGCATTAGTGCTCAACCATTGAGCCACCCTGGCCGGGCAGCTCCTGTTTTGTTTCTCAACAATTGCACTTTAACTTGTATGGGGTTCTGTCTTCTCAGAATCCAAATCAAACGTGTCCTTTGAAATTGCATGTTGCTTTACAATATAACTTAGAACTCAGCTGAGCTGTAATATTGGGACTTTTCCTGCTATTAGTGGGTTTTCTTAGAATCTTAGATTGAGAGGACTAGGAAGGAGAATACTGACTTTAAGATTGCTTCTTAGAATTCCTGAAATAGCTGTATGACTTTGTTTGCCAGCAAGCACTGGCATAATATTCTGGTCTTCTGCATAAGCTATTTGGAGAGGTGTCAGAAACTGGCACTTGTCATCTTTGTAGCTGTCAAAGTTATAGCTGAAGACCATTGTTTTAGACCATCTCTCTACGTGTCCTGTATCTCTTGGCTGTTCTCCATCCTCTCCTTTGTTGAACTTTTCTAGGAAACTGCTTCCAAGCTTAAAATGTAAGAAGCCGCGGGAACTTGTGCTGGTGATTGGAACGGGCATTAGTGCTGCGGTCGCACCTCAGGTTCCAGCTCTGAAATCTTGGAAGGGGTTAATCCAGGCTCTACTGGATGCTGCCAATGACTTTGATCTTCTAGAAGATGAGGAGAGCAAAAAATTTCAGAAATGTCTCCATGAAGACAAGAACCTTGTTCATGTTGCCCATGACCTTATTCAGAAACTCTCCCCTGTGAGTAACCGGCCATTTGAAATTTCCTACCTCTCCCTCCCTACCCGCACCACCACCACCACACACACACACACACACACACACACACACACACACGCATGCTGAATGTAATCAGGATGTTCATTTCTAGCTTGTAGATTCACATAGCAATTGCCTCTCCTGCAGAATGTCTGTTTATGGCCCTTATCCAGGGTACTTATCTCTTGACCCCATTTCAATGTGTGTGCTTGCTATTGATGATGATGAGGCCTTATGTGTACAAAATGAAACAACTCTTCCAATGTTGCTGTATTTTGTATTTACTTTTTCTGTTCTCACTTCTATAAAAGCTGTGTTCATTGGCATCCATGCCTTTTAGGGAACCTCAAAAAGATTAGAGATCATTCTTATCTTTTTATGCATGGAGCAACACAAGTTTTTAAAAAATACATTTTTATTGATTTCAGAGAAGAAGGAAGAGGGAGAGAGAGGTAGGAACATCAATGATGAGAGAGAATCATTGATCCCTGCCTTCTGCACACCCCATACTGGGAATAGAGCCCGCAATTCAGGCCTGTGCCCTGATTAGGAATTGAACCATGACCTCTTGGTTCATAAGTTGATGTTCAACCACTGAACCATACTGGCCAGAATCTCTGCTTCTTTTTCTAATTCTACCTCTGTACTTCTCAATCTCTGGCTTCCTTTGCTCTTTGTCTCTCTCCCATGTAGGTCTCTGCCTGCATCCTTTCTGTAAGTTCTCTGTGTGCCTTTCTGCATCTGCTCCTGTCTCCCTGTCTCTCTCCCTCTCCGTTCCCCATCTCCTCACCTTCCCCCACTTTCAGAAACTAGAGCCTTTTTCACTTCTTCTTTTCATTTCCTTGTCTTTAATTGTGATAAATTACTAATGTAGAACAATGCAAAGAATTAACAGGATTTAAAGAGCTCATGGGCCCTAGCTGGTTTGGCTCAGGGCATAGAGTGTCAGCCTGGGGACTGAAGGGTCTTGGGTTCGATTCTAGTCAAGAGAACATGCCCGGGTTATAGGCTCGATCGCCGGTAGGGGATGTGCAGGAGGTGACAATCAATGATTCTCTCTCATCATTGATGTTTCTATCTCTCTCTCTCACTCTCCCTTCCTCTCTGAAATATATATATAAAATAAACGAAAAGCTCATGAGACCTTCATCTTATACCATATACAAAAATTATCTTAAGATGGATTAAAGACAAATATAAGAGAGAAAACTCATGGAAGAAAACAGGTTTAAAGCTTCATGAGTTAGATGGATCTGGCAGATCATTGTATGTGTGTGGGTTTTTTTTAAAAAAATATGTTTTTATTCATTTTAGAGAGAGGGGACAAGAGATAAAAACATCAGTGAGAGAGAATCATCAATCAGCTGCCTCCTGCACACTTCTTAGTTGGGATCAAGTCCTGACCGGGAATGGGACTGGGGACCTCTTGGTGCATGGGTCGATGCTCAACCGCTGTGCCATACCAGCCATGCTTCAGGTGGTTACTTTTTTTTTTTTTTTAATATGTTTTATTGACTTTTTTACAGTGAGGAAGAGAGAGGGATAGAGAGCTAGAAACGTGGATGAGAGAGAAACATCGACCAGCTGTCTCCTGCACACCCCCCCACTGGGGATGTGCCCACAACCAATGTACATGCCCTTGACCGGAATCGAACCTGGGACCCTTCAGTCCGCAGACCGACGCTCTGCCACTGAGCCAAACCGGCTTCGGCTCATGTGGTTACTTTTTATCACTGAGCTTGTCAAGCCTGCCATGTAGCCCCCCAAGCTTCTCAGGTTTATTGCACAGCCCCATTTCCCTTCTCATTACCCACCATTGCCTTTGCATCATCAGTGCAAATACAAACAGTTCAGACAAAATATCACCTTCATATTACTATGAGAGTATTTTTAGCTTGCATACTTCTTAAGAATCTCAGGAATTCAAAAGGTCTGTGAGCTTTGTTTTGAGAAACATTCCAATGGAGGATATGTAAGAAAAAATCCAGGCAACCAAAAGCTTGTGAGAAAGAGGTGGAGCACTGGGAAATTTGAACACTAGCCGAGTATTTGGCATTAAGTGTCGATGAAAGAACATCCAGCCTAAGAATAAGTCTTAAAAGAGTTTATTTGGGCCAACCTGATGACAGTTACTGGGAAACACAATCTCAACGGATTGATAAAATGCTTTGGAGAAAAATAGTTTTATGTAGCTTATTTTATATGTTAGAATCAAAGGACGAGGAAGGGTGGGTTATGTAAAATCCATTGATGGTAGATTAGAAGGCAGGAGAAAGCAAAGCAGGGAAATCTCTGTGATTGGTTAAAAATAAAACAGACACTTCTTTTACTATGATGGGTACAGGATAGTTAACATGTACAGCACACAGATGGTATGGGGGCAACAAGATAATGCACAGAGATCCTGGGCAAATCACTTAGCATCTCTGATCTCTGCACCTATAAAATTGGTATAATGTTCCTTAGCTCGGGGGGTTCTCTAAAGAGTAAGTGAGATAAAATTAAGTGTCTGGCACATGGTAAAGGTACTGTACAGGGGAGGCACCTCAGGGAAAGAGTCAGGATTGTGTCTGTGTTCACTCTATCCGGGATCAGAACTATGAGAGGCAGAAACAGAATGGAAGGAAACAAAGTAGCATAGGGATCAGTTCACAGTTTGAAATGAATGAAAAAATGTCTGGGGAAGTTGTGGGGGAGTTCGGCATTTCCTTCTGACCATGAAATTCCTTTTGTTTGCATTCCTTGGTCCTGATTCAGAGGCACTGGTGGGAAATTTAGGTCCAGAGCCTTGCCTACGTGGCTCAGTGATTGAGCATTGACCTATGAACCAGATGTCATGGTCTGATTCCCGGTCAGGGCACATGCCCAAGTCTAGGGCTTGATCCCCAGTAAGGGGTGTGCAGGAGGCAGCCAGTCAGTGCTTTCTCTCATCATTGATGTTTCTCTCCCTCTCTCCCTCTCCCTTCCTCTCTAAAATAAATAAAAATATATTTAAAAAATAAAATAAAAGCTAGGAAGAGTGGGTCACCCATGGTGGGGAGAAATCTTTTTTTTTTTTTTTTTTTTTTTTTAAGAAATAGGGCTAAAAGATGCCTAGCTAAAATGAGTAACTCCTGACATTTATGTCCAGGCTTTGACATTTTTGTATTTCTTTTCTTAGAAGCAAGAAAATACATTCCACACCCCTGATTAGCTGATTGTATACCCAGGCATTTTTATCTGTGTGTGTAATGGTTAAACTGTCATTTGAAGGTAGTGTTATATAACTGTCTGCATGAATCAGTACAAAATGAAGTTATAAAACACAGGGAAGTTCTTAAAATAACCATATTCTTTGCTTTACATTTTAAACTTAATTTTGCTTTTCTGAAGAGGTATTGTTAACACACATTGCAGAAGTAAATGACAGTGAGGTAGCAAGGGTTATGTTAGCATCTCACTCCCACGCATGCCTTTATCTGCCTCCTCTCCCCACCATGGGTGACCCACTCTTCCTAGCTTTTATTTTTTTAAATATATTTTTATTTATTTTAGAGAGGAAGGGAGAGAGAGAGAGAGAGAGAGAGAGAAACATCATGTTGAGAGAGAATCACTGATCAGCTGCCTCCTGCACATCCCACACTGGGGATGGAGCCCGCAACCTGGAAATGTGCCCTGACCAGAAATCGAACTGTGACTTCCTGGTTCATAGGTTGATGCTCAACCACTGAGCCACACCTGCTGGGCTCTTCGTAGCTTTGTGAGCATCCTCCCAGTGTACCTTTTTGCACACAAGACTGTATTCTTATTTCACGACCTTCATCCCCTGTGTCAACAGGTGGCATCTAGACACACTGTTCCGCACCTCCTTTGTGTACCTAGCAGCGTATCCTGGAGGTCTTTTCAGACCCATCTCCTGTATGTGTGTACTGGGCTTGTTTCCAGTCCTCTGCGGTTACAGACAACCGAGCACTAATAACCCTGTGTATGTCATTTGTTTGCACATCTCTGTGGGACATATTCCCAGAAATGGAAGTTTAAGATCATAGGATAAATAATTATATTTTGATAGATATCAAAGGGGCACTGTATTTTTCATAATAAATCTAGAAAAGTGCCTGCCGTTTGTTAGTGGTCGACTCTTATATGCAGTGAAATTCAGTAACTGAGGTTATAAATTCTTCCCCGTGTTTCTGAGCAGATTGTTCATTCTTTTTAAGTGTTAGAGTCCCCCTGTGGGCTGCCTGTGGGCTGCTACAATATGTGATGGAATTATTTATGCCCTTATGCAATGAGAATGGACAAAAAATTACATTCTTAGCCACACAAATATGGGCCATCCCACCTAGTTAGCACCAGAAAAGAAGCTTGGAGCCCCCACTCTCCCCACAACAAGGTGCAGCGAGGACTTGTCCAGTCACAGAGATAACCTGGACCAGGGACTGACTGACAAAAGCAGACAGACCTCTGAGTGGGTCACCACCAGGGAGGGCGACTATTCCACCTCTGCTCGAATTTTTCTGCTGTGGAAATATTTACCATTTATTTGATAGGCATAAATAATGGATAACATTATAAAATACTTAAAAAAATTAAGGCAAGAACTTGGTAAATTCAGTGTGTTCTGTGAATCTGCGTCCCTGGTTCCATGGGAACAGATCTTTATCTGAGCCTTGTGCTCGTAGGAAGATGTACAGAGGAAATCAGAAAGGCGGGGGCCTCTTTGAGGGAAAACGGCAGCTGTTAACGGTGACCCAGCAGCTAAGTGCAGTTACATGGAGTCTGAATGGGAAATATTGGGACCTTTAAAAACGAATTCTTGCTCTGGCATTATCTAATGGAAGATATAGCAGGGATGGGATAGGGATCAGATATATGTTACAGCATATATGGTTACTTTACCTTTCAAATCCCTTTTGTTTAACAGTTGCAAATTGATAGCCTTTATTAAGTACTAAGTATTCTTTCTAATAAACATGCAAACAAATTGCTGAACTATGCAAGAGGAAAAAAAGCAGGTAGGGAGAAGGCAAGCAGGTTTCCCACAGCATACACAGCATCAGCATCCAAATCCCGTGCATCTGTAAAAGCACCTAGGATTAGAAAAAGATGCTAATCCACATTAGATGTCTTTTATTAGTTATTCCCTCGTTAAAGAAAGGGCACAAAAGCACTCACTGTCTCCTTGCCTGAGGCCACATTGGACGGTAGTTGCACCATGCTTTGCCCCCAGCATTCCTTTATCCTGGCCATGTCCATGTTCTTCATTCTGTCAGCATGCCATTTACAGAGCTGTGCTGTTTGCATGTGATGTGATAGTGCTGATCCCTTGCTACCCACCAGGCACCATGCTAAGCCAGTGGTTTCCAACATGGGCACATGCCCTACTGGGAAGTAATTTGATTTTTAAAAAATATATTTTATTGATTTTTCACAGAAAGAGAGAGGGATAGAGAGTTAGAAACATCGATGAGAGAGAATCATCGATCAGCTGCCTCCTGCACACCCCTCACTGGAGATGTGCCCATAACCAAGGTACATGCCCTTGACCAGAATCAAACCTGGGACCCTTCAGTTCGCAGGCCAATGCTCTATCCACTGAGCCAAACCGGTTTTGGCATAATTTGATTTCTAAGGGGGGGAAATTTGAGAATGACTTATTTACAGTGAATTTTTTTTGCATTTCTAATAGTCCTAGGGGACTTATATTCAGTATCCTAATAATAAAGCTATAATATGCAAATTAGTCATGCCATCACAAGATGGCAGTGCTCACAGGGGTGGGGCAGCTGCTCTGCATGCCTGCTGCCAGAATCCCCTCAGTCCCACCCATGGGCCTCTGGTCCTCCTGCACCCCCCACTGATTGAGGCTCAGGCCTGCTGAGGCACAGGGAAGCCTCGAATGGCAGCTGCCAAATTGCCCAGGGCCGCCCAAGGCTCAGGTAACCAGGGCTGGCTGAGACTTGTGCTGCCGGCAGTGGGAGCAGCAGAGGTGTGATGGGGGTGTCACCTTCCCCTGATCGCCTGGGTCGCCTCCCGTCCCTGAGGGATCCTGGACTGTGAGAGGGGGCAGGCCGGGTTGAGGGACACCTTCCCTCCAGTACATGAATTTTCATGCACTGGGCCTCTAGTATAAATATATTGTGACAGCCAAAACCGGTTTGGTTCAGTGGTAGAGCATCGGTCTGTAGACTGGAAGGTCCCAGATTCAATTCCGGTCAGGGGCATGTACGTTGGTTGCGGGCACATCCCCAGTAGGGGGTATGCAAGAGGCAGCTGGGCGATGTTTCTCTCTCATCGACGTTTCTAGCTCTTTCTTCCTTCCTCTCTGTAAATATCAATAAAATATATTTTATAAAATAAATAAAATTTTTAAAAAACAGGTAAAATTAATTTTAATATTTATATATATATATATTGTGACATATTTATGCATTTCAGTTCTCTATTATATGTTTTGAAACTTCATTTGATGTTTTTATATATCACTTCATATTATTATTGAACAATTTCTTAGTGATTTCTTCCTCAGTACTTCAACTGTTCTTTCCTTTATTTTTCTCTTTCATGGATGCCATGTTCTTTGGAAGCTTGTTCAGACCAAGTAAATGGGCTTTAAAGCTCCCTCCACATAAATAGGAGTTCACTTTTTTAATAATAATTCTATGTCATGGGGTGGGGACATCAGGATTTTAGAGATGCTTAGGTGGGGCGTGGCCAAAAAAAGGTTGGGAACCACTATGCTAAACACTTGGTGTGCATCCTCTGTATTCCTAATAACACTGGGAGGTAGACCATCTGTTACCCTTATTTTAGGTACAAAATATATTTTGAAAAATAGCTATTATTATTTATTATTAAGGCAGGTGATCCAAGAAAACACCTAGCATTAATTTTTTCTCTTTCAAATCCCTCTCCAGCGTACTAGTAATGTTCGATCCACGTTTTTTAAGGACTGTTTATATGAAGTATTCGATGACTTGGAGCCAAAGATTGAAGATGCTGGAAAACAGCTACTTCAGTCAGTTCTCCACCTGATGGAGAACGGGGCCCTGGTATTGACTACAAATTTCGACAACCTCCTGGAACTGTACGCAGCAGACCAGGGCAAGCAGCTTGAATCCCTTGACCTCACTGATGAAAAAAAGGTAAAAAGGAAAGCAGGAGCCTGCTTCTGGCTAGTGGAGAAGACTGTTTTCGTTGGGTGGTTGGGTAGTGCCGGTATTTGGGTAGTCAGGGAGCTGCTTCTCCCTGTGGGGATATTTTTGAGATAAAAAGCAAGATACGTAAAGTGTGCAGACCTTAAAAGTGCTCAGTTCTGTGAGTTTTGACAGTTTCACCCAATTTTAAAGCTAGAACATAGGAAATCATTTGAACTGGAAAGTCTCTTTAATATCTGATAATGTCGGGTGGTTGTAATATTTATTTAGAATTCTCTCTTTGCTCTGGCCGGTGTTGCTAAGTGGCTAGAGTGTTGGCCTGCATACAAAGGGTCCTGGGTTTGATTCCCAGTAGAGGACATGTACCTCAATTGTGGATTCACTCCCCACTCCCTATTGGGACACGTGTGGGAGGCAACTGGCCGATGTGTCTTTCTCACATTGATGTTTCTCTTTCTCCCTCTCTCCCTCCCTCTTCCCCTCCCCCCCCCATCTCTCTCTCTCTCTTTCCCTCGCTTCCCTCACTATCCCTCTTCCTTTCCCCTCTCTGCCCTCCCTCCCTTCTATTCACTCTGAAAAACAATGGAAAAAGTATTTTCAGGTGAGGATTCACAAAAAAAGAATTATCTCAGAATATATTGTGTGTACCAACTCCATCTGGAAATGAATGAAAACTACTTTCGGACATCTGGCCGACCATCTTCCAGGCCAAGTGAATGCTGGGTTGAGGTTAATGAGGTCTCATTTGTCCTACTCTGTAGTTTTTGTAATTTTCCTTCTACACTTTGTTTTCCCAGGAGCCTGCCTGTGTGTCCAGCCTAGAACCCAGCTAAGTAGTTTGAGAGATTCACCCACTGGCTTCATTGCCTCAGTACTGCCTCTGCCAGGAGAGCAGCTGTGATGCCACTCTGTAACTTTGCTGACCTCGAAGCCAGCTTTTAAAAGGAAATTGCTCAGGACATTGTGCCATGAAGACTGATTTCCTCTGGCTAGAGTGTTTCCACCTGCTATTCTTAGGCTCTCTGTGGCCAGTTCCTTCTTCACCTGTTATATCTCACATAGCACCTCCTTTGAGAGGTCTTCTCTGACTGTCCTATTTAAGAAGGGACACCCCCAGCCCTGGCCAGGTAGCTCATTTGATTTAGAGAATCATCCCTAACACAGGAATCAACCAATGAATGCATAAATAAGTGGCACAACAAATCGATGTTTCTTCTCTGGCGCGCTCTTTTCCCCTCCCTCCCTCACTTTTTTGCTCTCTAAAAATCAGTTTAACAATTAACAAAAGAAAGAAGCCTAACCATCTTGCCTGCCGGGACCTTGAAACAAGTGTTCAGCCTGCCCGCCTGGTTGAGTTCTCTTTGTGTTGTGCAGGTTCTAGAGTGGGCTCAGGAGAAGCGGAAGCTGAGCGTGCTGCACATCCATGGGGTCTACACCAACCCTAGTGGCATTGTCCTTCATCCTGCTGGGTACCAGAACGTGCTCAGGAACACCGAAGTTATGGTGAGTGTTGCTCAGCTCGCTGGGCTTGGGGAAGCCTTCCTGGAAACCTCTAAGCGTACCATTGGTCTCCAAGAGTTAACATGTTCTTTCCATTTACTCAAAGTTGGAAGGTTCAACATTCTTTCCCATGCTCCTCAGCTTAGGGGTGTGTATGCCATCTTAAAAAATGTACTCGAGGTATCAAACTGCAGGGTTTCCTTTTCATTTTTCATTTTGTTTTTATTTTTAATTTTTATTGATTTCAGAGAGGAAGGGAGAGAAAGGGAGAGAGAGAAGTACCAATGATGAAAGAGAATCATTCATCAGCTGCCTCCTGACATCCAAACTAGTTATCGAGCACACAACCTGGCATGTTCCTCAACGGGGAATGGAACCATGACCTCCTGGTTCATGGATCCACGTTCAACCATTGAACCACGCCGGCTGGACTCCCTTTGTTTTTGATGTACAGCCAGCTGGTTGCCATCACCTTCACATATGAAGAATACATCATTATCTCTTTTTATTGTTCAGTTTATTACAGTATTAATAACCCTCTCTATGCCAATAATAACTGGTATAGCTTTTTATTGACCAACCACTATTAGAATATACATCCTAAAGTAATTTTCTTTAAATGATGATGGGCTTGTACTAATTATCACACTTACTCAAACTTATTGCTCAGTGGGAAAAAATGGAAAAACTTATGGTGATCAAGTAGAGGTTTTTTCTTTGTGAAAAAATATCTTTGTTGATTTTTAAAGATCCAAATTTTAGACTTGCTTACACATGCATGTTCAAACCAAAAAGTCTCTCGCCAATGATATGTTGGAGTAATTCACTGGCCCCCAATTCTGAAAACAGTGCATAACATGACTGAGTTACTTAGAGTGATCGTATCTACATGATGCAGCAAAAGAAAGACCAAGAAAATGTGATGTTTTATAAAGCATAAGAGCCTTTTCGCCACACATAGTCTTTCCCTGGCATCTGTTAGAACTCCATTTATTGCTGACATTGCGTGATCCCTTAAGCAAAAACATTTTGAATGTTTCTATATTTACATACTAGAGGCCCAGTGCACAAAATTTGTGCACTGGGGATGGAGGGGGGAGGGCTCAGCCCAGATTGCAAGAGGGTGCAGGCCAGGCTGAAAGACCCCACCAGTGCAGGATTGGAGCTGGGGAGGGACCACTGGAGGGCTCCAGGCGTGTCAGGCCCATCTTGCTCAGTCCCAATCGGCTGGCCCTCAGCAGCAAGCTAACCTACCAATCAGAATATCTGCCCCCTGGTGGTCAGTCTACATCATAGCAAGTGGTTGAGCAGCCTTAGCATATCATTAGCATACTACGTTTTGATTGGTTGAATGGCTGACTGGACAACTGAACACTTAGCATATTAGGCTTTTATTAAATAGGTTGTGTATGTACATACATAGATATATATTGATCTAAGTATCGAGGAAATCTGGTGAAGAAATTATCGTTACTGCTGGTCCATGGTTCCCTTTGTAAGGCAAAAAAAAAAAAAGGCAAATATGTCCAAAAAATGGAAAGAGTAAGATATATTAAAGATATATTAAAGGTCTTATGGCTTCTGGGTACATAGATTTCAAAAATAAATTGCAAGGTCAGTAGACCAGTGGTAACCTCAAGAACCCCTGAATAGAGAGCCTATGACCACAGTATTAGATATTGGTCTAATATTGGTACAGATCCATATTAGACCAATAATCAAGTTATAGTGATAAGCCTGGCTGGTGTGGCTCACTGGTTGAATGTCAACCCATGAACCAAGTCAGGACATAAACAAAATCAGCTTTAAGGGCTCATCTACCCTCTTACCCCTGGTTCAGTGGTAGCCACAGTCTGTTAAGAGCAGTAGTGATGATGAGCCTGTGGCTTTTGTGTCTCAGACACGCCTTGTGTGTGTCTTCACCGTGTCACTTTGTTTCTTTTCCTGCAAGAGAGAGATTCAGAAACTCTATGAAAACAAGTCATTTCTTTTCCTGGGTTGCGGCCAGACGGTGGATGACACCACTTTCCAAGCCCTTTTTCTGGAGGCCGTCAAGCATAAATCTGACTTAGAACATTTCATGCTGGTTCGGAAAGGAGATATAGACGAATTCATGAAGCTTCGAGAAAATATGCTGGACAAAGGGATCAAGGTCATCTCCTATGGAAATGAATATGCTGATCTCCCAGAGTATTTCAAGCGGTTGACCTGTGAGATCTCCACGCGGGGAAGGTCAGGTAAGATGCAGCTCTTCAGCCTTGTGTGTGTTGGTTATGGGTAAAGTCATTACCAAGATGCGGACTATCACCCTAAGATTAGGAGGAGGGCGTGTCTGGTCTTCATATTGGATGAAAATGGCATTTGGATAGGAGAAAAATGCACAAAGGCAAATCCATTGCAGAAGTGGGAAGAAAAAAGGAACTCAGCCTCATTAGTTAGCAGTGAAGTGCAGTTAGGATTTAAATTTCAAAATAGAAAAGAATGATAACTCAATTTTGGCTAAGCTGTGAGGAAAGAAATACATTCATGTTGGAATATGTTACAAGTTTTTAAACCTTTGACCCAGAAATTTCACTTAATTTCTCCTGAAGAGTTACTTGGACAATTGCATAAAATATACGTTTTGTTTAAATGAAAAAATTGGAAGCAACTTAAAATTTTCACTTGATAGGAAATTTTGTAAATACTCCAACATTAATTTAATTGATAAAATACAATGAGGTTATAAAAGGGAAAATGTTTTTATTGTCCAAAAATATGTCAGAGATATAATATTGTGAGTGAAGGAGGAAAAAATCACCATGGTCAGTCCCATTCATACAAAATTATAGAAATTCTGTTTTTGTTTGTGTGTGTGTATAGAGAAATATCTGCAATGATAGTTACTAAATTAACTGTGGTTATGTTTATACTATTAGACTTAAGGGTTTTTATTTCTATGTTAGCATTTTCTACAGGGATTATACATTATCTTTATAAAAACAAAAGGCACACCTTAAAATGGTCTTTGGAAATTAACATGGTATTAAAGTCAGAGATTGGGGTACCTCTCACTCACTTGACATTTTACCTCCAGTTCTAATGAGAAAGCCAAATGAGGATAAAAGGTTGTTTATTAATGGCTCGAGGCAAGTTCCCAATAACCCTACAAGATACAAAACTTTATGGTGTCAGTTAAATTGAAGTTTGCTTTTTAAAACCTTACTTGGAATGAAGCCAAACCCAAAGTATGGTCACTCTGACTCACCATCTGGTTCCGAACAAACTTTGCTGTTGTACATAGAATACGTTCTTGAAAAGTTTTATGTTAATGTGGATTTTCATTGTCAATCTCAGTGCTTCTGAGAGGGCCTATTAAAAGTACAGGTATTTTAATGTAGAAAGAACTTTTCCTAAATCAAATAATCATCCCCAGCGTTTTCTCCTGAATCAAATTGCTTTGAGTGAATTCTTTGTAATGAGAAATCTCACAAGCTCTTACCACCATAACTGAGCACAGAAAACCATGTCTGCCCTTCTCCAGTAGACAGACCTTTCGGATTCTCGTGTGTGAAGAGAGCTTGCTGGTCTTTCTTGGGGATGTGTTTTCTGCTGTCCTGCTGTGTTTGATTCTTTTGCTTTTCACCCATACTGAGGACCTTCAGTCACTTTGACTACTGGACACATTCTGTTTTCATTACATACCCAAACTCTACATACTTATTGTGGCTACATTCTGAGAGCTCCTACCCAGGGAAGATGCTAAAATTGAAAATAACAAAATCCTCCCTGGACAGCTGTTCCTATTACACTAATTTTTTTAAAATAAAAATCTCTGAAGTGACACAAAAGCTTTTGTTAGCTGCATAGGAGTCCTGTTAGCATAGTAGTTAACCAGTTATTAATAAGGAGGATGCAAAGGGAATCAGACATGGTGAAGCCTGGTCAGCTGGGGAGCATGTGCCTGTTTGTTTCATCAGAAAGCTAGTTTCACCCAATCCAGGGGATTCCAGCATTGCCCGGCCAAGGATCAACACCCCTCCTTCCCCCTTCTGGTACCGGTAGGGATTTGGGAGTGCGAGGAGAGCAGGGAGAGATAAGTACACATGCAATAGAAGTCAAAATGGTTCCGGGGGAGGTGCTTGGCCATAGAGGCCTGTCAATCTAGCCTGGGAAAGGTGTCAATGACTAGGGAGTGGACCCATCAGAAGCCTGTGAAAACTTGGGAAATTGGTTATTTTGAAAAAGCACCTGGTCCTTCCCAAGCCCCAGCTGATATAATCCCAGGGGAACAGAGTTTTCTTGCTCACCCAGTTTGTTTAAGATAGTAACCATGTGGCCTTAGCGGCTGACCTGTGAGATATATGTGCACAGAATGTTTCCCACCCAACAGAGCCACACGGGCCAGGGCCATAACTACTATCTTTAATGGCTGTTTTATAACCCAGTGTGTGTGGCTGTTAGTTTCCCTAGTTATTTCCCTATTATGCAGCTCCTAATTTTTTCTCCTTTATTGTAAGAACTGTTGCAATGAAGTTATTTTCATTCATATAGTTTTTCCTTTTGCAAGTAATTTCCTTAGGATAAGTTCTCAGGGTAATTACTAGGTCAAAAGGCATGAACATGTTAGATTGATAAATGTTGCTGAAGTGTTTTCTAAGAGGGAAGTAGCATGTATGTTTTAGAGCTGTCCCTTATTTGTACTCTAATTGCCCATATTCGTTTCTCCCATGTGTCCACTTCTGTACTTTTTCCAAAGCCATTTTTCTATCCCAGTGCTGACCAATAGGATCTTCTGCAATGTTAGAAATATTCTATACTTGTTGCTGTCCAGTACCATAACAAGTCACATGTGGCTGTTGAATATTTGAAATGTGGTAGAGGAACAGAATTTTTAATGTGAAATTCAGCCACCTGTGGCTGATGGCATCATATCAGAGCGCACAGATCTAACCTGTTTGTACTGTGGGAGTATCTGCTACTTAGCACTCTTCTACTTGGTTGAATTTGCTCATTTGCATGCTGCTCCCCACCCCTGGTCAGACTTTTCCCCCTAAACTTGGCCTTCTTCACTAGTTAGGGACAGTAGACACACTCTGCCCTTGTAAACGTTTTGTTTACAAGCAGTGCCAGTGCACACACGCAGGGGCCTTACTGTTCCTGTTATTTAATACCACCACTTGAAGACTAACCTAGTTTATTCTCCCTGCCTCGTCTCCCGCTGTATGCATTCATTACTAAGTAATGCCATCCTTTAGAACGCGTGCTTTCATTTCCCTCTGGATGGTTGGTGTTTAACAGCTGACATTGATGTTCACTCTGTTTAGCAGGTGTGATGAGAGAAGGTCACCTAAATGGCTCATCGGCAGAGCACAGTGAAATAAGAGGTATACTATTTCCTGTTCTACTATCTGCCTGTCAACAGAAATGTTCCTTAGACTTTGTGGAGTAATGACTTACCTCTGCTACCTGGGAAAGATTCTTTTTCTTTCTTTTCTTAAAATATAATTGTTTTTAATTCTTTATTGTTTCCAGTATTACATAAGATAATTTTTCTACCAAGTCTGTTACAAGATGCTTTTTATGTCTTGTCTTCTGCAGTAGGTTAAGCTGGACTTAAGTACCTGCAGCTCTATATGTGTAAACCTGTTTATGAACCTCCTGTTCATTCTCTCCCTTCTCTCTCCACAGACCTCAGTACATGAGGGCTACTCAAGTCACCGACATCAGACCAAGCTGTAAGGCCCTATCGTGGACAGTTTAATAGTAAACTTACAAGAACCCAACTCAACTCCGAAAAGAACCAAAACCCAGAAGTTGAAGGCTGGGACTACGTAGAGGGGTGGCAAACTTCCCACATTCATCCTTCGTTTCGACTGGTTCTTGGTCTTTTGTTTCGTTGTTTTCCAGTTCCTGGTCGTATATGGCCTGTTCCAGTTTGAGAATACCCAAGTGACAATGGGACCTAATGCAGCTCCCCACCCACCTCTGGGCTGGACGTGCCTGTGTCCACGCACAGATCTGGGTGGTGCCCACTGAGCAGGCTGCGCCCTGCATGGACTCGGGCTGTGGATGCCGTGGCTGCTGCCGTTTTGTATTCTAGACTTGGTTTTTCACTTCAGCTCAATGGCTTTTTCTAAGACGAGACTTGAAGCTCTAGTTTTCTAGATCTCTTACAGTGTACAGTATTTTACATACCTGAGCTGTATTAAAAGCTTGTTCATTTACCTCAGAGCTCTGGTTCTAATTTCAGTCACTTTTGAAAATTAACCTGCTAAGTAAGGTACCAACAAGCCTAATTTTTGTCCCTCAATTTAAAGACCTTTTCAGGGGAGGGGATCTCATTCTCAGGAGAGCCATTTTCCCAGGTTCCTCACAGCATCCATTCCCGCAGCATCCCTTATCATAAACAATAGTTAGCATGACGTGGGATTTGAGTCCTATACGAAATAACTCCGAGACTAAAAGGCGATTTACTTATGAAATTTATTTTCTTATATATAAATTATGCATTTCTCTGGGCAGACAGCCTTCACCTTATTGCACTAAGCACGTCTGTAATACAAGCTACAGGACAAGTCTCAACGAGAGGTTTGTGTTTGACGTAGCACTTGTCTACCAGGCACTGTAGAGAGGCGGAGGAGCTGGGGTCCCTCGGGGTGAAGAACGGGGAGGGGCACCTGATACCTCCTGACAGGCAGTTTTCTCCCAGGAAGGGGAACATGCAAGGCTTACACCTGGGTTCCGGGCAAGGGGGAGAGCTGGGAGGCCGAGAAGCCCAATGCAATACTGCAGCTCGCCCCCTTTTCTCAGGGATGAGGCGAGGGAGACTCACCTTTTGCTCATTGTAACAAATCCCTCCGGCCTAGCTGACACTTGGGGGAAACAGGAGGGGATCTTCACAGAATTAGCAGCAATTAAGAAGAGGCTGTACAATGCCACAGTGTGGTTGGTGGGTGTTGCCCAGGCCCAAGGACCTGAAAGCTATGTAGCCAGGGAGAGGTGCCACTCAAGACCCAGAACTGGTTCTGGAAGTCTCTTCATCTAATGGAGCTGGGGGCTTCAAACTGCTTATGATGCTCAGGTGTTCCCATGACCACACTGATTAGCCAAGTTCTGGTGTTGGATCTGACCACTGATCAAAGCTGTAGTGAGACCACGTCCATAGGCAGCATGGTGGGTAGAACCGCAGCATGGTGGGTAGAACCACAGTGGCGGTGGGCATGGGCAATGGGCAGTGACTGTAACATGATTAGGCCCTCCTTGGGGATGGAGGCTGGACTGAACAGGGAGTGGGGCTGGAGGAGCTGCGCGCCAGGAGCGGCCTCACTGCCTCTGCACTACACTGAAGACAAGTTGCTCACACTCGAATGCACGTTCTTGATCCAGGAACGGGGACTTTGGGGGAAGCAGTGATTTGGTTTTGGGCAAGAGCATGTTAAGCCTTCATGAGGGCAGCCACCACAGCCTTGGCGTTGAGACTGCGTAGGTCGCAGTAGGTCTGGCCAGTGCCCACAAACACGATGGGTTTGCTTGTGATGTAGGTCATGGAAATAGCAGCTCCCACCTGAAAAGGAAAAAGGGGAACCCAGTCAACTCCAGGACCTTCCTCTGTACCCCAAGTCACAGAAAGCTTCGCAGCTAACGCAGCCTCAGGTCCTGCCCTCCCAGTCCCACTGTGTCCTGTATTTACCTTGTCATCAATGGTATCAAATTTGGTAAGGACAATGCCATCAATGAGCCGAGGGGTTTGAGCCATAGAATGGTCAGCCAAGGCTCTGTTGAACTTGACCTGGGAAGGAAAAATGGCATGTGAGTGTAACAAATCACCTTTCCACCCAAAGCTGAGGCTGGAAAGAACCACGCCCTCACCAGCTGATCCACGGCCTCATTGCCTACTAGGGCCTCGCCCACAAACAGCACCAAGTCGGGGGTGTTGACAGTAATGAGCTTGGCCAGGGCAGTCATCAGAGGGGCATTGTCTTGCATGCGGCCAGCTGTGTCCACCAGCACGACATCAAAGCCTTGGTTGCGTGCTACAGAGAGAAGAGTGGTCAGCTCGGAACTCCTGGGTTGTCACACTTATTTCCAACGTCCTCTCGGGAAGTCCTAGCCTGGCTATGTTAAAGGTCTGTTTCCTTTCTTGGGCTCTGGATCTGGTTACAAGGTAGTGTGAGAAGATAATCTATCCTTGGCCCTCCACGCAAAGTCAGGAAAAGGATGGCAATGCCATAGAGGTGACCAATGAGAGGTTTCTTGGGTTGGACCATACCAGCTTCGGTTGCAACTACATCCATTCCCCAAAGCGGATCATGGCAAGTCACAAGTCCTTAGGTTGAGCCTACGTTGGTAGTCGGGTGACCCTGATCCTCAGGATATTTTAAGGGAATCCAAGGAAAGGGGCCCGGACCAGCTCCCACACTCTCCGCTCCGTACCAAAGGCAATGGCTTCCATTGCGATGCCGGCAGCGTCTTTGCCGTAGCCCTTCTCGAACAGCTGCACCATGGTGCGGCCGCCGTGGCTCTCCGGGGGGTGTAGGGCACTCAGGCGGCGCGTGTGTGTGCGCAGCTGCTCCACGGCCCCGGCACGAAATGTGTCGCAGGCGGCGATGAGGACACTGTAGCCGTTCTCCAGCAGCCAGAAGGAAATCTGCAAAAGAGGCAAAGGAGACTGTCGCCTAGAACCCAAGTTGCTGCTGAGACGGGGAAGAAAGGTCAGACGGATGGGGAGCTGCACTGACCTTGGCGAGATTCGTAGACTTTCCCACTCCATTAACCCCGCAGAAGGTGACCACGTAAGGGCGCTGACGACGCTGGGCGTCCATGATGTCCCGGAGCATGTCCACAGGGCGCTGTGGCTGCAGGATCTGCACCAGGGACTCTTGCAGAGCTTGCTTGACTGTGGAAGTCACCGCTAGAAGGGAGGAGGCGGTGATGTACCCCAAGAATGCCCAACACCTTTCTGAGCTGAGGGAACGAGGATCTGGATGATACTAGGATCCTTCCCCAGGAATCCACACCATGCCTGACACTGTCCTAATAAACACTTGCCAAGTATTAACTCGTGTAATCCTCGTAGTAACTCTTCAAGTCTCAGGTATATAATAACGGTTTAGAGCTTAAGAGATATGCCAAAAGTCACTGAGGCCCCTGCGCTGGTATACAGAATGCCCTGCGCACATTGGTTGAGGCCGATACTTACTGCTGAATGTCCCCATCACCTTCCCTTCCAACTTGTTGGCCACGGATTCACAGAGTTGGACTGCAATGTCTGCTGCGACATTCTTAGCTGGGGGGGGAAGGGGCCGTGTGTGAATGCCAAGTCAAGTCATCAATTCTTACGGTACAGCTAGGAAACTAGATGGTTCCACCCTCCACCATCCCTACCCCATCTGCACAAGCCCACCTGTTCCTAGTGCTTACCAATGAGATGATCGCGCATCTTGTCCAGCACAGATTCCATGTCTTCACGACTCAAGCTCTTGGAACCCACAAGGCCCTTCAGCATCCCAAACATGCCACCCAGGGTCCCCTTGGCAGCACTGCAGGCACAGGAGATTACGGGTTCACATAAAGCTGGTTGACGGGCAGGAGTCAAGCCTCACCGGCTCAGGAGCCACACACACCCTGCACCCCCTGCAATTCCCTACCTAGGTTTGGTAGGGTTTTGAGCAGCCCCTTCATCATCGGAGCTGCTGCAGTCCAGATCCTGAAGCTGCCCCCCAGGCCCAGTCCCTCGAATCTGCAGGGTTTGGGGAAAGGAGAGAGGATTAGGAATTCTAAAGGTTTTGAAGGGGAAAAGCCCAGGATTCGCCCTGTCTACACTGCTCAGTCTCTTGGTTTTGGGAAGAGACTCATCCTCTCAAAGAAATCCAAGGTACTACCCTCCTCTCTACTAATTTTTTAAAAAAAACTTAAGAGAGAGGGATAGAAAGGTGGAAACATCAATGAATGAGGAACATCATCCATCGGCTGCCTCCTGCACACCCCCTACTGGGGATCCAGCCTACAACCAGGGCACATGCCCTGATCGGAATCAAACCAGCGACCGCTAGGTACATGGGTCAATGCTCAACCGCTGAGCCACACCGGCCGGGCCCTCCCATTCTCTTGGCCCCTGTTGACTCTCACCAAGTTGATGTCCTCAGGCGGGGCAATCTCTGGGGCCCCATTGGTGGTAGGAGCGCTATAATCCAGGTCTTCCTTGTTAGCACAGCCACCCAGCTCCCACACCCGAGGTGCTTTTTTGCCCTTCTCCTTTGGAGCATCTGACTTCGAGGACTTGCTGAAAGGGTTACGGCACAGGGTTATGGTGGAGAAGCAGAAGGAGAAACATCTCCCCAAGATCCAGAGACAAAGAGGCCCTTGCCCTCCAACACAGCTAGGTTATGGCAAAGGTTAGAACACTCACCTGGACTTGTCTGCAGCCTTCCCGTGTTTCTGGATGAACTCCTCTCGCTTCCTCCGGATCAGCTCCTCTTTGGAAAGTTCTACCCCATTGTCAGCCCCCACGGACTTTTCTGCAGGGGCTGTTTTGCTGGCAGTCAAAGGGACATCAAAACCTGTTAGGAGAAATTTCACTGGAGAAAAAGGACCAGATTCCAACAAAATAGACAATTGGGAGGAGGGGGGGGGGGTTCCAATTAGGAGCAAACATTTTGGGGCTCACAAGCACTGGGAATGACAGCAAGGGTGGGGGACACTGGAGTGAGAGAGACAAGCAATGACAAAGAGGACAGGGGACCACTTCAGTATTAAGGACCACATGTAACTTCTCATGCCCATATGTCCAAGGAGCTCACACCAACCTTCCTTCTTGGCCCCCTTGTTTTTTTTATTCTTTGCTTTTTCCTTGGGCTTTTCACCCCGGGTCTCAATCATGGATCTCACAGGTTTCTTGGCCTTTTCAGAATCTTCAAACTTCTTCATGGTGGTTGGAGCCCGGACCTTACTGCTCTCCTCCGCTTCACTAAAGCGAGAGAGGAGGGTTCGAGTCCAGAGAAAGGGTCCCCACCTCAAGAGGATCACTTAGAACTGGGCAGCAAATTCAGAAGCATCTTTCAATAAACACTTGAGTACCCCTGATGGGGCCTCAGGAAGGGAGGGAGCTCAGCAAGCCACGGAAATTAACTTGGGGGAGGGGAGGCCTCTCACCGGAGGAGCCGCAGAAAGTCATTTTGGAAATCAAACGTGCCGTTCAATAGACTTAGGGCGCTTTGCTGCTGGATCTCGGTGCGGTACTTGTCCCGAAAGAGCCGGTGCACGTCATCTATCAACTTGTCCACGTAGGTCAGTGTTAGGATCTTCTGAAAACCAACCTGTTCGGGGACAGAAACAGAGCCAACAGATCTGCTTACGTGCCATCCCGGGACAGAGGGAAGCCAACTAAACCCGGGCCTCCAGATTGGCTAAGCCGCCTGGCAGGTGTCCCTGACCTGAGGGGTGGCCAAGCTCTCTGACTGAGCCCCAGAGCTTCTTCCCTTTCCCCCCACCCTCGTCTTCTCCTATAACACCGTCTGCAATTAGCCAGGTTTCAGTTCTCTGAATAATCAGGACTCTGCTGAGAATGCTCTCGTCCCTCCAAAACCACCCCCACTTACCACAAACACCAGCTCAAACTGGTTGTCCAGTTTATACTTGAGTGTGAGGGCTTCATGGGTGAACGAGTTGTTGCCTCCCCTTTCCTGGAAAGAGAGTATGTCTCCGAGTTCAGACTATTCCCCCCAAGAAAACCCAGTCTTGGGGGCCCCTCAACGATTACCTTTTGGGAAAGAACCAAGCATCCCCCCAAAGCCAAACCTGTCCCAGGACAAGAGGATGCTGGGGGCACTGTCTGTAACATCCCACCGGGGAGAGGAGGAGATACCGTGGGGTCGGAGGGAAGAGGGAGAGAGTGACAAGACACCTGGGAGGGAGCCCGATGGGAAGCAGTCGTCATAGAAACAGTCAGGTCTACTAGCAGCTGTAGACTGTGTACAGGTTTAAAGGTGTTTTTCCATCCCTTATCTCACCCATCCTTGGACACAAGAGAAAACCAAGCTGGCAGGAGCGAACCGAGGGAACGATGGTTAAGTCTGGAAAGGCGCCTAATCCAGCTAGAGTCCCCCCAAAGCGCAGGGGGAGGGGGCGCCCCAAAGTTGCAGGCGGGCAGGAGGAAGAAGTGAAGTCCCGGCTCCCGGCTCCTGGCTCCCGGCCAGTCTCGGGGCGGTCAGGGTGGGAGCGAGGCGCGGGGCCGGTCGAGGAAGACTATGGGTCAGATCGGGGGGAACGAACCCGGAGTCCTGACCCCTGGGGGCGGTACCTGTAGCAGCACGGAACGAATCAACGCGTTGACGGGCCCGGTGCAGGAGTCGCTCACGCCCTGGAAGCACCAGAGCACGAGCCCGCCCTTCGAGAAGATGGTGAAGAAGTCGAGCATGGCGGCAGCAGGAAAGGAGCCCGGCCGGCGCCGGGAGCTGAGGCCACGATCGCCCCGACTTCCTGCTGCGCCAAGCGCGGGACACGTCACACCAGCGGCCCCGGAAACCAGCTCAGCCGCACTTCCGCTCAGAGCTCTGGGATTCCCACCCCCCCCTCCCGCCCCTCCCACCCGCCGCCGCTGGAGGGCGCGCAGCAATGACGTAAAGCAGACTGGCCCGTATCGGGGGGCTGGGTGGGGCTCTTAGGAGGTCACGTGGAGACGGGAGGCCAATAGAGCGCAGGGGCGGAGTCCAAAGGGGCCGCTGACCAATGGGTGAGCTCGTCTGAATGGCCGGCGGCGCGGAGCGATGACGTTTTAGGGCGGTGCCAGGTTTAAGGGTCGCGCTCTGGGGCGGCGATCCAAAGGACCATGTTTCGAGGGGCGGTGTGGCTCTTGGCAGGTCGAGGCTCTCTGGGCCGGGGGCTAAGCACACGCAGTGGAGGCTGGACTCCGGGTAAAGTTGAGGACACAGGAGGATGTCGTGGTTCTGGGGTCCCCCCGTCCCCGGCTGTGTGACCTTCAGGACGTAGGACCCCGGCTCAGGCTGGGAAGACGGCAGGTCAGCTGTGAGAAGGGGCTAAGCTTGTCCCCTGGAGCTTGTAAGGCCAGGACAGGTGTACGGATCCCCCTCTGCGTTAGCCCAACACCAGAATGGGAGACCAGGCTGATCCCCTGGGTGCACGAAGGTGCATTGAGTGCTGCTCGCGTGCCGCATGCGGTGCTTAGTGTGGTGGCCCGTGAAAGAGGAAAGAGGAAGAGAGGATTCACTAGATATGTCCTGGAGGTGAAGTGAAGCCGGAGAGGGAAGACTTTCTAGACCAGTTCAAGATTGGGTAGTCTCCAGCTAGTGTCATGGTAGACATACAGGGAGCAGGTGGCTACCGAGATCAGCCCTGAAGGATGTTTACTGGTTCTGGGAAGGCGGGTGTGTTCCAGGCTCTGGAAAGCTGAGCAAAGGTTAGGGGGAGAAAGGAACTAGCCAAAACCGTCCAAACAGTTTGAGTAGTGTTAGGAAATATGTGGGAAGGGAAGGGAAGCCCAATCAAATAAATATTCTAATGCTGCTGAATTTTGTGTTGGAAACAGTGAGAAGATTTGGAGATTTGTGAGTTAGGTGTTCATGACAAAGAATTCATTTATTCAAGACTAGAGGCCTGGTGCATGACATTCATGCACTTGGTAGAGTTCCTCAGCCTGGCCTGCCCCCTCTCATAGTCCAGAAGCCCTCAGTGGATGTCCAAAGGACTGCTTAGTGCTAACGCCACTGCACTCGCCAGCCATCAGCCCCGCTTTTGGCTGAGCAGTGCTCCCCCTGTGGGAGCGCACTGACAAGGGGGCAGCTCCTGCATTGAGCATCTGCTCCCTGGTGGTCAGTGTGCATCATAGTGACCAGTCATTCCATTGCTCGGTTGATTTGCATATTAGCCTTTTATTATATAGGATATTTATTGAGCATTTAGGATGTGCCAGATAGTCTGCTAGGGTGGAGATTGGGGGGTGAAGAAGGTACACTTCATACAGTATGAAGCTATCACTGATAAACTCCAAGTTGTAAATGTGTTGCATGCTGCAAAAGAGGTTCACAGAGCTGTGAGAGGTTAACAGGTAGGAGAATTCAACTTAGTCCAGGGCAGCCGTCGCCAACCTTTCAGACCTCACGGACCACCACTGGTCCACAGACCACCGGTTGGCGACCACAGGTCTAGGAGATCAGAAAAGGCTTCCCTAAGCACATGTTAACTGAGCTGAGACCTAGGGGAAGCAGAGTTAACTCGGCAAAATGGACCCAGAGTTTTAAAACAGAACACTTGTGTCAGTTCCCTGTGATGGGAGGAAGTAAGATGTCATCAAGGAAACATGGGGGGTGGGAGTGTGGGGAGAGGAGGAGGACAAGGTGAGCAGAAACCGGATTGTGTGTTGTCTGCCTGGCCGTGTTGATGAATTTTGGATTTTGGCCTTAGAGTAGTGGAAAGCCATTGGAAGGTTTTACGCAAGAGGGTGTGTGATTACATCAGTGTTCAGACAAGGCCAGTCAGGCTACCATGTAGAAAAGAACTGGGGGAGGGTGACAGGAGGGGAATGAGTGGGAGCAGTCAGGAGGCGTTTGCATTAGTCTAGGTGAGAGATTATGGGGGTTCAGTCTAGGGCAGTGGTGGCAGAGATAGAAAAAAGGGGGACGGATTGGGGAGCTAGGAGGCAAAGTCATCAGAACTTCGTAACATATAGGACATGAGTGGAAGTCTGCTGGTGGTGACGGATATCCAGGGTAAGGTGCCACTCAGAGGTACCAGGCTTCAGAGGTTGCAGCTCGGAGTGTGCAGGGACCTCATGGTCCAAGAGCCTGGGACTCCCAAGTGGTGATGACCGTGCAGTTGAGGATATGAGCCTCTGGCTCACCAGAAAGATAGGTGTGCACAGGAGTTATATATGTGTAAGTCACTATCCTAGGGAGAGAGTATAGACTGTTAATTTTGCATGAAAAGGAAGAGCGGCTGATGGCATGCAGAACCTATAGCAAAGCTGTAGGATACTGCTGGCTGCACGTTGACCTTATGGAAGGGGCTGGTAGTGGGGACTGCCAGCTCCATGTCAAGTTAGCCCACCTTTTCCTGTGCCCGTCTCCTAACCCCCTACCATCGGAAAAGGAAACGAATGGCTCTCTTTGACCATAACTGCATCCCGCAGACTGGACCGAAAAGGTGTCTGAAATTAAGAAGAAGATCCAGTCAGCTCTTCCTGGAGGGGCCTGGCATCCACTGTATGACACCAGCCACCTGCCCCCTGAACACTCGGACGTCGTGATTGTGGGGGGTGGGGTGCTTGGCCTGTCCGTGGCCTATTGGCTGAAGAGGTTGGAGAGGCCACAGGGTGCCATTAAGGTGCTGGTGGTGGATCGGGACCACACGGTGAGGTCTGGGGTCGGGCAGAGTCATGAGTGGGGCTTGGACTCGGATTTTACTAAGGACCTGGGACAAGGGAAGGGGCGAAAAGACCTCAGATCTTTGGAGGTCTAGAGCACAGGGACTGTGCTTAGGACCTTGTGAAGAATTAGTTCCAGGTTCATCCTCCTTCAAACTAAAGGTCTTGGCAATAGGTTTTTGCTTTTGAAAGCACATTTTATTGTTGCATCTTTTGAGATCTCACAGGTCTGGCCAAGAAAGCCTGCCTTCAAGTTATAATTAATACAGTTACTTCAACCCCCTTGAGGTTCCATCACACCCCAGGTTTTATACTTTGCTGTTCCTGTTACCTCTGCCAGCCAGTCACGAATTTTTTTTTTTTTTTAATATATTTCTGATTTCAGAGAGGAAGAGAATCAGTGAGAGAGGATCATTGATCGGCTGCCTCCAGCTCGCCCCCCAGTGGGGATTGAGCCTGAAACCTGGGCATGTGCCCTTGACTGGAACCGAACCCGGGACCTTTCAGTCCACATGCCAACACTCTATCCACTGAGCCTTTGTTGATGACTGACTCTCTTTGCCGTGCGCGTCTGCTGATGAGGACTTTTATAACCATTGTCCTCTCTGGGCTGCTGGATGACTTGCATATGGTTTTATCCATGCAGCTCCTCTTCGATCACAAAGCTGCAAGAAGAACTCCCCTTTAACTTAAGGTTCACGGCTCACAGAATCCATGACAGTCTCTGCTCCTATGTAAACCTCGGCCTTCCTTGTCTCCCCACAGTATTCCCAGGCCTCTACCGGGCTCTCCGTGGGCGGGATCCGCCAGCAGTTCTCGCTGCCTGAGAACATCCAGCTCTCCCTCTTCTCAGTGGACTTCCTACGGAACATCAATGTACGTGCAGCGAGTTGGGGTTGGGGTGGTGTCCCCTCCCTCAGCCCAGAGAGAGGAGGGAAAGCAAGAAGCAGGAGCCAGCGGGCAAGTAGGAACCGGAGCCTTGGTTTTCCTCCCAGTGTGGTGCCCAGAGGAGGCTTCGATCAGGGTGAAGGCCCTGAGCCCTGAGGTTGTGAGTGAGGAGGCCAGGAGCGCTCTCCATCCCTTCTCTAAGTCAGCGTCTCTGAGGAGCTTTCTTTGCCCATAGGAGTACCTGGCAGTCGTTAATGACCCTCCCCTGGACGTCCAGTTCAACCCCTCAGGCTACCTTTTCCTGGCCTCGGAAAAGGGTGCTGCAATCATGGAGAACAACGTGAAAGTGCAGAGGTGGGTGCCTGGCTGGACCTCGAAATCGCCTCCCGGCTACATGCAGGCAGGAAGCCCTACGCCACGTCCTGGGCTGGGAATATGGAGCTGATGAGACAGGTCCCTGCCCCTTCGGAACTCAGTCGGGAACGGCAGGCACATGCGAACTTCCAGGTCCTGTGCCAGGGCTGTGATACAGACTAAGTGCTGCTGGTGAGTCCTGCATTGCCGGATAAGAACCACCAAGGACATGCCCAAGACCTGATAAATCAGATTCTTTAAGAAAGGGTTCAAGAATCCCTGTAAGAGCCAGATAATAAGTATTTTAGGCTTTGCAGGCCGTACAATCTGTATTACAATCACTCAATTTGCAATCAAAGCACAAAAGCAGCGCTAAAAAAAAAATTAAGATAAATGCATGAGTATGGCTCATGTACAGAAATAGGCTACGGGCCAGATATGGCAGCTCTGCCCTCAGAGATAACCATGGTCAGTCGAGATCAGGCATCTCCAACAAGCACTGTCTTCAAGTCTCACGCATGACATCAGGTAATGTCCTAACTCATTTGGTCATCAGAACATCCCCCATTTTACATGTGGGGAAATCGAGGCATGAGGCACTAGTAAGCAGTGGCTGGGAGTGAAACCAGGCATTCTGGCTTAGGCGTGTGTTCTTGGAGCACCACCTCGTAGCCTTTGAGCAACACAATTCCCGAGGAGGGGGCTGAGCCAGTGGGTGAAATTGTCCCAGGAGGCGGGCAAGAGGCTGTCTCGGGTAGAGCAGAGCGAACAGCAACTTATGCTGAAGTGAAAGGACATAGACTAGTTAGGGGGTGACAAGGGATTCAGGCTGTACAGCCAACGGACACTGGGATGCAGGAAAGGAAGAAGGTCAGATGCTGAAGACCTGGGAGGCTTGTCCCTCATCCGTTCAGCAAGGAGAGAAACTTGGGGAGCTTGGGACAGACAAGGGGCATACATGAGGTAGAATCCCAACTTGTGGTGTTGGGTCCGTACTGCTCCCTCTCCGCACGCTCATCTTCACTAACGCACACACAGACACACGTGTTTCTCTCAGGCAGGAAGGAGCCAAAGTGTGTCTGATGACTCCGGAGCAGCTGCGGAACAAGTTTCCCTGGATCAACACAGACGGCGTGGCCTTGGCGTCTTACGGTGAGGCTTGCTCACAGGGGGCATCGGGCTGCGGGCACCCCGGGTGGGAAGCCATGTCACTGAGCAACGCCTCCTTCTGGCCAGCAGGATTTTTCCAGGCCATGCCCGCTCTGTTCTTCCGCAGGATTTGACTCGGTGCAGTCCGTCAGCTTGACTTTCCCCAGCTTACGAGCCCGAAGTAAAGTTTGGGGTGCGGGAAACAATAGGAGAGGGGAGCTCTTGGCCCTCTTCTTTTTTTAATATATATATATACACACACACATATGTATGTATTATTGATTTTACACAGAGAGGAATTGAGAGGGACAGAGAGTTAGAAATGTCAATGAGAGAGAAACATCGACCAGCTGCCTCTTGTACACCCCCCACTGGGGATGTAGCCGCAACCAAGGTACATGCCCTTGACCGGAATCGAAACCGGGACCTTTCAGTCCATAGGCCGACGCTCAATCCACTGAACCAAACCAGTCCCGGCTCGGGCCTCCTCTCAGTCCTCTTTTCCCCTCGCAGGGTTGGAGGGTGAAGGCTGGTTTGACCCCTGGTGTCTGCTCCAGGGGCTCCGGCGAAAGGTCCAGTCCTTCGGGGTCCATTTCTCGCAGGGAGAGGTGACACGTGAGTCTGTCCCCTTTGCCCACCGCTCATACCCTTTGCCACCCAGGACGCAGGCCCAGACTATGTCTTATCCTCGCTCACAGGCTGAGCAAGGCTTGGTGTGGGGGAGGGGGGGGCTTCTCCCCTGAGGGCTGGTCCTGGGCATCCTGACTCCAGCTGCTGGTGAGGCTGCTTCTGACTCGTGATTGGCTAGAAGGTTTCGGTGCTCTCCTGCCCTGAGTGCAGCCAAGTTCATCCCCGTTACCCTGTTTGCTGCAGGGTCTGGGAAGACGCCCAGCCTCCCAGTTCCTTTCCCTAGGAAACCCGGACCCCCACCTCCTTCCTCTCCAAGGCCTCGAGGGCTTCTTTAATTTTCTCTTTCTTGCAGGTTTCATCACTTCCTCTAGCGACATGCAGACCACGAGTGGGAAAGGGGTGACTATGAAAAGGATCCATGAAGTCCATGTACGTTCCCAGCCTGCATGCGTACCTTCCTCACCGGAGTGGGGGGAGGGGTGAGAAAGGTGACAACCGTCGCTTGGAACGTCAACCCACTTCCAGGAAGAGATGTTCCCCTCCTGGTGGCCAGCGTGTGGGCCAAGCCCTGCCTCCCTTCCCCTCTGTGCCTGCAGGTGAAGATGGACCACAGCCTGGAGTACCAGCCTGTGGAATGTGCCCTCGTGATCAATGCCGCAGGGGCCTGGTCCGGGCAAGTAGCAGAGCTGGCTGGGATTGGGAAGGGGCCACCGGGCACCCTCGAGGGCACCAAGCTACCTGTGGAGCCGAGGAAAAGGTGACGTCCCTTAGGGCAGCCGAGGAGGAAAGGCTCAATATAAAAGGTTGTTGCCAAAACCGGTTTGGTTCAGTGGATAGAGCATCAGCCTGCAGACTGAAAGGTCCCAGGTTCAATTCCGGTCAAAGGCATGTACCTTGGTTGCGGGCACATCCCCAGTGAGGGATGTGCAAGAGACAGCTGATCGATGTTTCTCTCTCATCGATGTTTCTAACTCTCTATCTCTCTCTCTTCCTCTCTGTGAAAAATCAATAAAATATATTAAAAAATAATAATAATAAAAATAAAATTAAAAAGGTTGTTAAACCCAGCCAGCGTGTTTCAGTGGTTGAGCGTCAACCTATGAACTAGGATGTCATGGTTCGATTCCTGGTTAGAGACATGCCCGGGTTTCGGGTTCGATCCAAGCCTGGGGCATGGAAGAGGCAGCTCATCAGTGATTCTCTCTCATCATCGATGTTCCCATCTCTTACTCTCTCCCTTTCTTCTCTGAAATCAATAAAAATATATTTTAAAAAAGAAAAACAAAACAAAACAGTTGTTTAGTCAGAGGAGGGAAGAGTTGCTGTTCCCTCCATTTCCTAACCCACCTGGTGACTGCAGGTACGTGTACTTATGGCACTGCCCCGAGGGCCCGGGCCTGGAGACCCCGTTCGTGGCAGACACCAGTGGAGCTTACTTCCGCCGGGAAGGATTAGGCCACAACTACTTGGGTGGCTGCAGCCCCACCGAGGTAAGCTAAGGGGGTGGTCGGTGCCTGGGAGGGGACAGCCCGGTTGTCATTAAAGAGACAGGCTCTAGGGAAGGCCAGTGCTGGTACTGATGTGGCCGCGCTTTCAGGTTTTGATTGGGATCTTTAGTCCCCATCCCCCACCCACCTAGGGGGTTGATTAAAGAGGCCAGTGATGCCGAAACTGGTTTGGCGCAGTGGATAGAGCATAGGCCTGCGGACTGAAAGGTCCCAGGTTCGATTGCAGTCAAGGGCATGTACCTTAATTGCAGGCTCATCCCCGTTGGGGAGTATGCAGGAGGCAGCTGATGGATGCTTCTCTCTCATCAGTGTTTCTAGCTTTCTATCCCTCTCTCTTCCTCTCTGTAAAAACTCAATAAAATATATATATATATTTTTTAAAGAGGCCAATGATCTCTGGCTCTGTCCTTGTGTCCCCACCTCTCTCTCCAGGAAGAGGAACCGGACCCGGGGAACCTGGAAGTGGACCATGATTTCTTCCAGAACAAGGTGTGGCCCCCTTTGGCCCACAGAGTACCAGCTTTTCAGTGTCTGAAGGTAACTAGGAGACATGACGTTGGAGCATCTCGGGGCCCATCTATCTACCTCCCAACTGCTAAGGACTCTATGGTCTAAGCACCCATGCCGTCAACCCCTTCAGCCGTGGTTGAGGGTGCTGATGCCTGACCAGGACGGGGGTGGCTGCCCGGGCAGCCTTCCCGAGAACCCCAGCATCTCGTGCATCTGCAGGTTCGGAGCGCTTGGGCCGGCTACTACGACTACAACACCTTTGACCAGAACGGCGTGGTGGGCCCCCACCCCCTGGTCTCCAACATGTACTTTGCCACAGGCTTCAGCGGCCACGGGCTCCAGCAGGCCCCCGCCGTGGGGCGAGCTGTGGCCGAGATGGTGCTGGAGGGCCAGTTCCGGACTATCGACCTGAGCTCCTTCCTCTTCAGCCGCTTCTATCTGGGGGAGAAGGTGGAAGAGCGCAACATCATCTGAGCCTGTAAGCTCTCCGCGGACCCCACGTCCCCATCCGTCACCCCTGGTCACATCCTGGCCCGTGTTCACGTCCTCCTCCCCAGCATCATGCCCAGAGCTCCTCCATCCTCTCCTCATCCAGGTGGCTCTGTCCCCATGTGGCTGGCCAGGTGGGCAGGCTGCAGGCTCTGAGGCTCTGCGCCTGAGGCCCAGGCTGGCAGAATGAGGGAGCAGGGCCCTGGGACTGTTCCCTGCCCAGGCCGCTGCTGCCCACTAAGGCGGTCCAGCTGGACAGGACGCCTCCGTGGTCCTGAGCCCCAGGCCCGGGCCTGGCACCGACCAGAATGATCACCGCTGCTCCTCTTCACAGAGCCCAGGCAGGGAGCATTCCGGAGCAGCTGGCCCCAATTTATTATCAATCAATAAATGTGATGAACTCCTTCCTGTCAGTTTTCTGTCCCTTCCTCTCTTCACCTCATGGCATGTGCCTTTGAAGTGCCTGCTAGCCTTTGACCACAGGTTGGGAGAAGCACAGCCTCCCAGTCCTCTCAGGAGCATTCTTTTTTTTTTTTTTTTTTTTAATATTTTTATTTTTCCCATTGCTTTTTAGAGATATGGAAGAGAGAGAGAAAGACAGAAATATCAGTGTGAGAGAAACACATCAATTGGTTGTCTCCTGCACATGCCCGGACCAGGGCTCGGGGGGGTGGGGGGTGGGGGGGAGCCTGCAATCGAGGTATGTGCCCGTGACCAGAATCTATCCCAGAATGCTTCGATTCACAGGCTGACGCTCTAGCCACTGAGCCAACCCAGCTAGGGCCTCGGGCGTTCTAAATCCTCATTGGCAAGCCAGTGCCTCCTCTCCACACCTTCCTGCAGAGATGTGGTTGTAGGGGGAAGAGATGTGTTCATTCCTCTGCAGTAGTTACTCAGCTTCAACTTGTTGGCTGGGTCTATTCGAGATACCCCAGCAGGCAAACCTAACGGATGAGCAGCTTCACATGGTGATTGCAGGAGGAGTGGGGAGGCGAGTGGGAAGGGGAGTGGTTCCAGGCGGATGGAAAACCATACACAGAGGCCTGGGACCAAGAACTAGCAAGCTTCCAGGGGCTGGCTGGATCGCGATTTGTCCTAACAGGATCCTGGGGTGAGAGAAGAGGTACCTCTGGGCCAGGGGCTGAGGAGCCGTGTGTGGAGCTCTGTCTTTCCGTGGGCAGGGGCCCCTGGAGGGTTTTCCATAGGGAAGCCACGTGATCCGATTTTCCTTTTAGAAAAGTCATCCTGCCCACCCTGATGTCAAAGCAAGAGGCCAGGTGGATGGCTGCTCCGACAGCCCACACCCCGGGAGCAGCTGAGGTCCATCCACGAAGCTACCTTAGCAACAGGAAATTGGGTCAAGTAAGACTCCCTTCTCTGCCCGGGACAGCTGGGCGGCTGTCAGGCCATTCATGGAGATGAGGGGGGCCAGGGAAGAGGTGCCAGGGACAGAGGTGGGGGGCATGCTGAGCCAGGAGTGCCTATAGGACGCCTGCAGAGATGTCTCTCGGTTGAATTTATTGTGGCCTCTGATGGCCTGGGCTGAGGTAGCGGAGTGGACTCCGTGGGAGAGGATGGTATCAGCACAGGACGTGAGGATAGTAGGGGATCACGGGGTGAACCAAAGAAGAAAAGCCAGGAGGGTGAGGGGTCCGGCAGAGGTGGGACGGTGAATGATATAAATGCACATGGGGCTGGATGCAGCCCAAGTAGGTCAGGGGGACCTCGGAGGGCCGTTCTGGAGGAAGTGCACTTCGGGGTCTGAGGGGTGGGCCGTGTGCAGAAGGGAGAAGTGAGTGGGATGGTGACAGCCAGTACAATGCCCTCACCCCAGTGTCCTTTGGAGAGAAGAATGAAGCAAAGGATGGCGGTGGGTCTCACGGGTCATCTGGGGGAGGGAGGGAGGAGCGGGCAGAGGTGCTGCCAGTGAGTAACGTTCGAAGCCCCTGGGGGTACGGGGTGAAGAGCCAGGAAGAGGAAGGACAAGAAGGAAATTGCCAGGGGCATGGAGCCTAGGAGGAACTTGCCAGGGGCGTGGGGATAGGGGCCATCAGGTCAAACCTGACACCCCTGTTAATTAACCCCCGTGAGGTAGGGTCCTTGGGTGCCCAGTAGGCACTTGCCCTCAGGACAGACACCCCACCCCGTCTATGGGTCAGAAGAAAAGGCAGCACTACCTTCACTTCCATGGAGAAGACAAAGGAGCTTATCACGGCGTTGGAGGACCCTCTGTTCCCCCTTAGGGCTGTATTGGGGCTGCTGGGAGAGGGCTGTGCTCATCACTGCATCGGTGTCACTAGCAAACTGCAAAGGACAGGGACTAAGCCTTCCCCTCGGCGCAGCACCGAGCTATGGAGATGGCCGGCGCAGTACTTGGCTCGGTGTTCACCTCGGTGCTTCTGGGCTCTGTTTGGAGCAGGAAGATGGGCCCCGGCCTCAGGGAATCTTCAGTCTAATGCCAAGGCTGAGCCGCAGGGATTTGGGAAGGGAGGCGGGAAGGGAGGGTGAAGATGGGTTTCCCCGCATAAGCTACCAAGATGCCCCAGGCCAGCTGCAGGGCTGCAGGCAGAGCTGGGAGGAGGCGGGCGGCGGGCGCCCAGGGCCTCTCCGCCCCGGGGCTGCGGGTCTGCCTGGTGGGCCAAGCCAAGGGCTCATCGGCTAGCTTCTGCCCAACTGGTAACCCCGTGGGTGCCCCGCACCGCTGGGCCCCGGGCCGGGCGCAGCCTGGCACTTCCGGGGGCGGGGCAGGGCCCTGGCCGCGCCTCACTTCCCTTCGCGCCGAGGCGGCCGGGCGGGCGGGCGCCGGAGCTCACCCTGTACCGCCTGCACCGCAGCCCGGCCCCGGCCCCGCGTAGGTGAGCGCCCCCCGGAGCAGGTGCGGGGACTGTGGGGAGGCAGCCGGAGCCGGGCGGGGTGCAGGGAGGGAGGGAGGCGGCCATGGAGGGGGCGGGACCCGCGCCCCGCCCCCTCTGCCCCGCTTTCGCCCCAGCCCTGGGCAAGGCTCACCTTCCGATCCCGCGCCTCCTTCCCTGCTGCCCCTCCACTTGCTGCCTCGGGCACCCCGGGCAGAGCGGAGGAGGGAAGAAAGGGGCCTCCGAGACAGCTGTCACCCACCGGCCCGCCGCGGAGAGGCTGGTGCAGGGAGCCCGCCCTGCTGGAGCCGGGGAGGCGGGCCGGCTGGGCCGCTGGGCGGTTGTTTCTCCCTCTGACCCCACAGCCTCTCCCTCTCTCTCTCCCCGGGGCCTTTCTGGCCGCCTTTCAACGGGAACGTGACTTTCTTAGGGTAGCGACCTGTCCGGCTTTCCTTCCAGAGTCATCAACACAGCATCCACCGTGGGCTGAGCACCCGGGGAAGTGCTAGTGACACCACTGACCTGGACAGAGGCCATCCTCCTCCTGGAAATGAGAAATCAAAGCCCACCCTCAGGGAGGGCACCTTCTGCAGCTCACCCAGGGGTAACCCACGGTCAGGGATCACCCACCGGCACAGGAAGCCGCTTCTAGTTATTTGTTTAATCTTTTGAAAAAGTGCACAGATCGTAAGCGGGTGTCTTAACCCAGTTTCCACGCTGAGCTTTTCCTGTGCAGCTTGCATCCAGAATCAGTAAGAGTGCTGCTCTCTCTCTCTCCAGAGGCCTCTCTCACCTGCCTCCAATGGCAACTTCCGCCTGGCATCTCCACTGACCTGCCTGCCAACCCCACAAAGTAGTTTCACTTCTTTTGAACTTTTGATAGCTGGAATCCCACGTCCTGTCCTTTTTGTGGGTGTGGCACGTGAGATCCACCCATGTTCCCTGGGGAGGTAACCCGTTGGTTCTCACTGGTGTGTAATGCTGAGAGACCACAGTTTATTTCTATAACTGGGCACTCAGACTGATGGACATGGGTCATTTCCCCTACTTCCCCCACTCCCTTCCCCTCCCAGTTGGGGTTATTTTAAATAGCGCTGGGAAGGATTCTTTCCGTGTAAGCACTTAGGCCGGGCTTGTTCCTAGAGTGAAAGTGCTGGGTGTGTACGGTGTCAGCTTTCTATATGGTGCTAAACAGTTTTGCAGATTGCTCCCTCTAATTTACATGTCTCCCTGGAGTGTGTGAGTTCCTCTTCCTCTTCCTCCTCATCCCTACCGATTCTTGACACTATCTCCTTTCATAGAAACCATTAGTGGGATTGCTTCGAGGGTGTTTTAGTTTTCTTAATATATTTGTATGGATTTCAAAGAGGGAGGGAGAGGAAGGGAGAGATAGAAACAATGAGAGGGAATTGTTGATCAGCTGCCTCCGGCATGCCCCATACTGGGCGTAGAGCCCACAACCCTGGCATGCGCTCTGACTGGGAATGCAACTGTGGCTTAGTTCCTAGGTTGAGGCTCAACCACTGAGCTACACCTGCTGGGCTGCGTTAATGTTTGAATTTGCATTTCACTGGTGACTAATGCCTTGTGTCTATTTTCATATGTCTCTTGGCCACTTGGAGTTCCTTTTTGTGAAGTGTCTGTTCAGTTCTTCCACCCATTTTTCTACTAGATTTTCTCTCTTTTTCTTACTAGTTTGTAAGAGTTCTTAAATATTCTGAATGTCAGGTATTTATTGGCTATGTAATTTTAAAATATTTTTTTTTCCTCTCAAAAGATTGCCTTTTCACTCACATAATAATGTCTCTTGATGAACAGAAGTTTTTCATTTTAATGTTGTCCAATTTGTTGTTTTTCTCTATGGTTGTATTATGTAAGTTCAATTTGAAAAGATATTTTGTTTCTGGGGTAAGGGCAGAGCATGAAATTGGTGAAAGGGGTTAAAAGGTACAAACGTCTAGTTATAAACTAAATAAATCGAACCTGGGACCCTTGAGTTCGCAGGCCGACGCTCTATCCACTGAGCCAAACTGGTTTTGGCAATTAAATAAATCATGAGGCTATAATGTATAGCTTGAGGATATAATGTACAATATAGTTAACAATACTGTATTATGTATTTGAAAGTTGCTA